CGCAATCTGTGGGTCCCGGGTTCAATTCCCCGTACGACCAAACATGCTCGCCCTTTCAGCCATGGGGGCATTATAAAGTGACGGTTAATTCCACTTTTCGTTGGTAAAAGAGTAGCCCAAGAATTGGCGGTGGGTGTTGATGACTAGCTGCGTTCCCTCTAGTCTTACACTGCTAAATTAGAGACGGCTAGGGCAGATAGCCCTCGTGTAGTGATACTGAGAAATGACATGCCTTAAAAATTACTTACAAGTAAGATTCAGCAAAGAGCATGATCATTTTTTTTTCTCTGAAATTTCTTAACATAGAATGAATGAAAATTTAAATACTTTTCAAGACATAAATAGTATGTTTTTAGTATTTTTCAAGACTTTCAATCCAATTAAGACCTATTTAAAGCCATAGCTCAAAATTCATGACCTTTTCAAACTTTTACAAATCCTGGATATAACACACTTGTATGATTAAAGATGTATTGTGCAAAGTTAAATAAAAGGGCTGAATCCCAAGAATTAAACTATAAAATTATTTTCTGTCATTGCCAAACAATTCATTTATAGTTTAGTGTTTCTTCTGGTAAAAAGTTTTTGGAAAAACTAGAAATATGTCCATAAGACATATTAATTTAATAGGCTAGAAATTCCAATCTCATGCTTTAAATCCATAAATTTAAATACCATTTATGTCATTACTCCATTTACTCATTTATGTCACTTACACTATGTTATCTAAAGGTATTTCAAAAATCCACACATTTCAATATTATTTATGTCACTTACACTATGTTATCTAAAGGTATTTCAAAACTCCACACATTTCAATGTTATTTATGTCATTTTACTCAAGTCATTAAGTAAAACAACAAAATCAAATGTGTTACATAAAAGAAGGTACTTCTGTTGGTTGAATCTGTTAATAAAGGTAGTTAAGTTATTACATAAGGTAACATTCAGGGCATGTTACACAAAAGAAGGTACTTACTGTTTGTTGAATCTGTTGACACTGATGGTTAAGTTATTAAATAAGGTAACATTCAGGGCATGTTACACAAAAGAAGGTACTTCTGTTGGTTGAATCTGTTAATAATGGTAGTTAATTTATTACATAAGGTAACATTCAGGGCATGTTACACAAAAGAAGGTGCTTATTGTTTGTTGAATCTGTTAATAAAGGTATTTAAGTTATTACATAAGGTAACATTCAGGGCATGTTACACAAAAGAAGGTACTTACTGTTTGTTGAATCTGTTGACACTGATGGTTAAGTTATTAAATAAGGTAACATTCAGGGCATGTTACACAAAAGAAGGTACTTCTGTTGGTTGAATCTGTTAATAATGGTAGTTATTAAATAAGGTAACTTTCAGGGCATGTTACACAAAAGAAGGTACTGACTGTTCGTCGAGTCTGTTGATACTGGTAGCTATTAAATAAGGTAACATTCAGGGCATGTTACACAAAAGAAGGTACTGACTGTTGGTTGGATCCGTTGATACTGGTAGTTATTAAATAAGGTAACATTCAGGGCATGTTACACAAAAAAAGGTACTTACTGTTGTCGAGTTCTGATGATCAAAAAGTCTGTATCTGGTAATTCGTGTTGATAAATAGGAGAACGAAATAGATTGTTTTCAAATGCTTGCATAGCCTGACCAGGAGTAAGACTACCCAGAAAGGGAGATGTATATGCATATGCTGTTTCACCATACTTGAAATCAGGAGCTCCACTATCTTTTCCCGGTTTCTGGAATGTTTAGTATTATAAATATTATTATTAAACTGATGTTCCAGATAAATTTACATCCTATAAGTATAACAAAGAATATTTCATACAATTAGTATTTTGCACAACCACATTTCAAAGAACGTAGAATTTATATGTATTAGTGAAACATACTGATGTAAACACACTACCTTAGAACAAATGCTATTGTAATCTTAAGCTTTGCTGGACCTCAATAAAGTAGAGCAGTAAACCCATACATGTTACATAATACTGAAATGTAGTATTCAGTAATTATGTCTTACTCTTTTGTAATAGTTCTTTATTTTTGTAGCCATTCCAACTTGCATTATGAGTGGTGCATGTTCTTCAGAATATTCAGCTAAGATAAGTTCTCCATCACGTCCAGTCAGGTCTTCAGGAGTTCTCATAAAGAACATTTGTCCTCCACCTGATGCCTGTCGCTCTTGTTCACACAACTAAGGGTAACATAGTATATCAGTTCAAAGACTATAAAATCTACTAATGATATGACAGATTTAAACTGGATCACTGCTATAATATTTCTTCTTTCATTGAAGTGCTAACATATACCATGTCAATCTAAACACTACTACTATGAATTATTTATACCCAATTAGCTTACAAAATATTTTAAAGGCAAAAGCAATATATAAAAAAAATTAACAAGGAATACTTGGCAACTGTATATAAAAAAACAACACAAAGTATGAACTTAACTAAAGTAGAAACTTTCTTTACTTGGCAATTGATGATAATTTTCACTGGTAAAAAACTGTTTTCAAAAAACATTTCTTCAAGAGATGCTTGTTAAGAGAAAAATTATAAAACCAGCCTTTGCTTTCCGCTTGATGTGTTTCAGTAAAGGTATTACACCGTGAGGTCCAGGCTGAGATAATGGTCCATGAGAGTATCTTTTCAATGGTGGTCTGTGGAAGCTACGTAACCTCAGAGGTCCCATATGAGTTGGAAAGAATGGAGCACGTAGTTCAACAGCTGGTATAGCATGCTATAGTTGCAAAGAAAAAATATTTTAAATTATATTCAGCATTATATACAGTTCTGATATTGGTGCAAATTGTTTTACACACAACTCCAAACTAATAATATAAAACAAATTTTGACTTGGTGGAAAATTATATATTTCATGTTATTTTCTCTACCCTAACTCTATATGCATTCAGTCAATTTGCCCAACCTTGTAACCACCATAAAAAAATATGAAATAAATCTAAAGTGACTTTTTCAGCTGAGGTGTAGCAGCTCATAGAATGGCTCCGAGTTTTTGTTTTTCAAGAACAAACTTTTAGCTCACAGCTCCATCATCTCTTGACCAATTTGAGACCTAATTACAGTTGTGGACTCGGGAGGTCAAACCCTTTTGTTTGATGTATTTGACCATGCCCGGATCTCATAGATTAATTTACTCTAATCCTGCCTAAATGAAATCCTGGTAGAGATCCTGATAAGTAATAAAATCAAATCGCGTGCACAAAAAAATAGAGCTAATAAAAAGGAAAAAAAAGGTCTCATAGATAAATTTGCTCTAATCCTGCCTAAAAGAATTTCAAGTATTGCAGCTATTGAAGATTCCCTCTTGTTTCTTTCTAGAATTACTTCAAATTATACCAGAAAACTACCTTTGTTTATCCTAAATAGCTTAAAGCTTGTAACAGTGTACAACTGTTTTTACTTGAATTTTATTGTTTTATTGCCCTTTGAACCATGTCCACCATAAAAGTTGTAAATCACTCAACAAACGTATAGCTTACATTACCCTATCAAATTACATAACACAAGTTACTCTTGAGCTGCTCATGAGTGTACCTTGTGAAAATCAATATTATTTTTTTCTTTATCTTACCTAATCAAACCTTATCTATCCTAAAAGTTTCAAATTTTTACATTTTAGTCACTTTTATAATAATAAATAAAGAATACCCATGAAAAACTAGAAAAAAGTACTTACCTGGGTTTTTTTGGCTGTAGACTGTCAATGAAACTTAACCCTACTTTTTTATACTAATGGTACTACTGTACTAAATAATTTTTTTTAAATTAAATATTGCACCTAAGAACACAGAATAATGACACATAAATAGCAGACAATGTTCTATAACTATAATAATTGTCCTGGCATTCTAACTATGTGATAAGAGCTGTTAAAATTTCAACCAAGCTCATCAGTGTGATCCCTATGGGACTGAAGTTTGAGCTGGAAATGAAATAGACAATTTTCTGTACAGATAACAAAGCAATATCATACAACATCAGACAGAACTATCAGCAAGAGGGTCTGATTTTCTACTTTATGGCTTCCTAAACAAATAAGATTGAAGGCTATAAAAATCATGCTTTACCTGAGTAATAACTATATTATAATGAGTAATCTATGTAAATTTTCTACTTCTTGCAGGGGGTGTTAAATAAATTAAGACTGAAAATCTAGAGAGCAAATGTCACAATTCCGATGTTAGGGGAGATTGAGGATATAGTATAATATTAAAATTTGATTTATTAACTGTATTTTGATGCCAAGTTTATTCACATATCATGATAATAAAGAAGTTTAATTAAATTTTGAATCTAACTCTAAAAAAGTTGTGACATACGCATTTTGTCTTGCCTGTGGTGAGAGTTAACAGCATTTGGTATGCTTTTAGTAAACATTACATACACATAATACACAAAAATTTAGAATTTTTAATAAACAATGATTTGTATGTCAATTTACAGAGTGAATTTGACCCTGACTATCCTGAGTGTAATGTAATTTTCATATTAACAATAAAAATATTTTCCATCTTACAGTTTTAATATTATGTTTGTGTAATCTCTAGAGCTTCCAAAAATATATTAAGTAGCTTACAAAATGGCCTTTTGAGAGGTTATAAACATGTATCATTGACAAGTAAGTGTGAGAAAATAAGTAATTTCAAAAGCAGTTGGGAGGAGCTTCTGTGGTGGGTGTAACAAATCTATTAATATCTCAGAAAATAAAAAAAGTGGGAGGTTGTTGATTTTCAATTCTGGACTGCCAATATATACATAGTTGGTGTTTCAAACTAGTGGGCCTTCTGAAACCCATAATTAGGGAAGAAAGAAAATCTAAAATGGAGAATTCAGGAAAAAAAAGTATCACATGATGTAAAGAAGTGAAGATTGAGAATATATTATGTCTCCGCAGAAAGTCTTACTGTTTTTCTATAGTTTCTTCTTCTTCCAAATACTTTTCAATTGACCTCCATTCCTTCATTTCTCAGTGAATCGATTTAAACCTTGATAGTGTTATGCCTTTGTCCAACATGCTCAGACACTTTTTCATTTTTTCGATTTAGGACTTTTTAAGGAGTTTATGGTGTCCAAGGTGAAACAACCCAAAAAATGTATATTTTGGGCTCCTGTGCATTCATATTTACAGAAATCTGGAGGAAAATTGGATCAAACATAAATTTTCAAGCACCCAACCCACTGACATACAAACAGTTGGATTTGTCCTTTCTGAGTATTTCTAAGGGGGGCACAGCTTACAAAAAAGCATAATTTTGGGATTTTTGGTCAATTACTCTGTCATATTTGGTACAAAGATGTTTTCTACAGGTCGCACACACTGACAAACAAAAATGGTGGACTTTTAGTAATTATAGATTATTATTATTAATTATAGTAATAAAGATGCCACAAAAACCATAGTTTTAGGGTTTTTTTACAATTACTTCACTGTATTTCGGCCAATTTACATTGGATTTGGTATGAAGATACTTTTTACAGGTCCCATACATAAACATACAAAATAATGTGAGGTATGTTCATTCTTGGCCATTTTATGGTCAAAAGGTTAAATAATCCTATATGTTTAGGGTTTTAGCCAATTACTTAGCCTTGTTTTGACCAGTTTACATGGAATTTAGTACAAAAACAGTCTTTACAGGTCCCAAACAGATATATTGACAATTTTGGAAAATGAAAATAACTATTAACTTGTAAAAATATTCTCAAACACTACATACGAATACTTCTCAGAAACAACTAAGTCCTTGAATAACAGCTTCCAAAACATTACTTTATTCACCTTAAGAATAATAATTAATATTTCAAAAACAGTCCCAAAAATGAAACTTGACCCCAAAACATTTTACACATGTCATTTTCAGAGAAATGCTTTACTCATTTGTCAGAAACAGTAAAAAAATACAAAATAGTGCATAGGGGTACTGCAATGATGAATGCTGAGGCTTTCTAGCCCCTTCTTCCATCACCAATAGTATGAAGTGGCCCTGATTATGGAGTATTGATATGTAGTTCAATTTTCATTCAAGAGGTTTTTGTGAAACACACTAAGTAAATGTTATTCCCTCCTCTTAGTTTGTATTCGAAGTTCAACATCTATAAATGTACAATGACTTTAGAGACCCATTGGAAATATCATATAATGTGAATACCATTTGTAAATGTACCTTGCAGAGAAACGCTGACTTGAATGTATGGCTTTGATGTTTTCAATTGAAAAAGCTGAATTCAAAAATAAAGAGTCAACAGTTATACAGCCTTACAACACAGGGATTGCAAGGGAAAGGTAATTGGAAATTATTATCATAAATTATAGACAATCCTCTGTATAAAATGTTTCTGAATTTTTTTACCTAAACACTGCATACATCACTTTAAAAACAATGTCACAAACCATCTTTCAAAAGTAGTTACGGTTGGAAAACAATGTTCTTTAACCCCTTTCAGAAGGGTCACGGGTGAAAGGCTATGTCATCTCGTTTGTTGACTCGCATTCAAAGTTTTAGTGAACTACTATTACATGAGTTTATGTCAATAAGTTTGGTATCAAACTGTAGATTATAATTCAAATTTTAGTACTATACATTACTCAGTTTCTTAATTTAAAATATAAATATTAAAAAGCACAGATAAACATTGATTTTTATGTGTCACATGGTATGTTGAATGTAGCACTGGTTCAAATTAGATGTTTATGAAGTCAAAATACTAAGTTTATAGTTTCATACGAATTAGAAACTCAAATTACCGATACTGACAAGCTAGAAAATAAAATAAAAACGTCTTATCTTTTCGATTTGATAAGATATTGTTCATGTAATAAATCAAATGCAGTGGCACCCCGCCCACCACTCTCTTTCTATTTTTGAAAACGCTCCTTTATAAACACTTACTTCAATAAATGATATGAATAACCAAATGGAAGCTCAGAATGTCCCCTAAGTGGCTTTCACAACAATTTTAACAGGCTTGGACACCATTTCTTTCTTTTGAACCAATATTTTAAGGCAGTATGGTGTGTCTTTAGTCTGCTTAAAATTTTATATTTTTTTAGACTGATGCATAAAAGTATTTTTAATCTTAAAATGAAAATTACTTTGCATGTTAGAAAGGTAACATGCGAAAAGAAAAAAAAAGGCATGAGAAAAACATTGCTTTACAAACCTTAAGACTTAATAAAAAAATTTTATATTTCACATATGAAAGCATTGCAATGTTTACTGATAATGTGCCAAATTTCATTAAAAATCGCTCACTAATTTAAAAGTTATAGCAAGAAAACTATAACAAACACAAAATGGTTATGAGGTCAGTCCCAGGGACCAAGCCTGTGCTGAAAGAGTTAATACATTTGTTATTACATAAGTTATCTTATATTATATGTGAGAAAAAAAAAGGCATGAGAAAAACATTGCTTTACAAACCTTAAGACTTAATAAAAAAAATTGATATTTCACGTATGAAAGCATTGTAATGTTTACTGATAACATGCCAAATTTCATTGACAATTGCTTACTAATTTAAAAGTTATAGCAAGAAAACTATAACAAACAAAAAATGGTTATGAGTTCAGTCCCAGGGACCAAGCCCGTGCTGAAAGAGTTAATACATTTGTTATTACATAAGTTATCTTATATTATATGTGAGAAACTTTCACAAGAATAAAACAAAATGTTCAATATAAGTACTCTTTCATTACTTATTTCCAGAAAATTACCTTAATCTATTTTTAAAAAAAAAGAAAGAGAAATTCACTTATGTGACTTATGCAAGTATACTGTACTGTTTGGCTCCAAATCTGTATTTAAAGTTTTGAAAGGTAGAACAGAAAAAACTGATTACATTTCCTCAAAAAAGTGGTTGAATGTACACATTGGTGTTAATTGCCTTTACAAACATTTATATTAAAACATCTTATGCACAAAGTGGAAGACAAACAACTAGATACCTGTATAAGATTTCCTCCAACATTTGGCTTCAGTGCACTGTCTTGAGTCATCTTAGGGTTGTAGTACTGGTCATTAGAGATATTAAACGGATCTTTCTCAACATTTTGAGGTGGCGGCTTTGTAAATTAAAAATTTATTTATATTACAAAAACTGTGAAAAGAACGTATTAATACAACCAAATACTGAAGATCAAATTATTTTAGTAATGAACACATGAAACTATAAATAAAAATTGAAGGATAACAAAATGTATTCTAAATTTGAAGTGAAAAGTGCAATAAAGAAAATAAAATCTGGAAACAACCCTGGACAAGATAACATCATGATCAAAATCATTGAGCGATTAGATCAATTTGGAATTGACACAGTCACAAGTTTTTTAAATAACATCTTCGAATCAGGCAATATCCCAAAAAAATTATTAAAATCAATATACATAGCATTAACAAAGACACACGGTGCAACTGAATGTGAACTACACAGAACAGTAAGTCTTACGAGTCACCTGACAAAAATATTATTGAGCATAGTTGTGATAAGAGCAAGAAACAGAATCAAACCTGAAATAACAGAGGAACAATGTGGATTTGTTTAAGGTAAAGGCACAGCCAATGCAATTTACATACTGAGAACCATATAGAGCGAGCAACCGAAGTACAGAAAGACTTGTATCTTTGTTTCATAGATTATACATAGGCATTTGACAAAGTGAGACATGAAGTCATAATAAGGGTTCTTGAAAATATCAACTTAGAAAACATATGAGAATCATCAAAAATATCAATTTAGATGGTAAAAACATGGAAATCATAAAAAATATTAATTTAGATGGTAAAGATATGGGTATCATCAAAAATATCAATATAGATGGTAAAGATATGGGAATCATCAAAATATCAATTTAGATGGTAAAAATATGAGAATCATCAAAAATATCAATATAGATGGTAAAGATATGGGAATCATCAAAATATCAATATAGATGGTAAAAATATGAGAATCATCAAAAATATCAATATAGATGGTAAAGATATGGGAATCATCAAAAATATCAATTTAGATGATAAAGATATGAGAATCATCAAAAATATCAATGTAGATGGTAAAGTTTTGGGAATTATCAAAAATATATATGGGGAACAAACAGTAGCCATCAGAGTTGAGAACGAGCTTGGCCAATTTCAGAAGATAAAAAGAGGAGTCCGTCATGGATGTCCCTGATCTCTTCTCCTTGTACAGTTAAATGATCACGAGACCGATAGAAGACATGCCAGGCATAATTATTGGAGGCAACAATGTAAACAATATCAGATAAGATGATGACACAATGTTAGTAGTAGGAACGGAAAAACATCCTCAGTCCTTATTTGATATTGTAAATAAAGAAAGTGGAAATATGGGACTCAGCCTGAACACCAAGAAAACAGAAACCATGGTTATATCAAAGAAAGAAACCAGTCCAAAATGCATTTTATCATTAAATGGGACCTTTCTTAATCAAATCTACAGGTTCACATACTTAGGGTTACATCAGGAGGCAGATGTCAAAATGAGGTCAAGAGAAGAATTGCACAGGCTAAGACAACATTTATGAAGATGAAAAGCATATTGACTAACAAATGTATATCAATGAAAGTGTGCAAAAGAGTTCTTAGCTGCTACATCGAACCAATCTTGATGTATGGTTGCAAATAATGGACAATAAACAAACAAATGGAAAACTCATTTAATTCGACTGAAATTTGGTTCGTGCGTAGAATGCTTTCCTACAAAGACCAGAAAACAAATGAGGAAGTTCTGCAACAAGGAGAAACAAAAAGAACATTGATAACATAGTATGAAAAAGACAAGCAGCACACTTTGGTCATGTGATGAGGAGAAAGGGGATGGACCACTTGATAACGACGTGGAAATGTGTGGGGAAAAGGTAGACAGGGAGAGAAGATCCTGGACAGTTTAACAACTTAGCTACACAAAGAGAGGGTGACTGAGGTAATCACAAGTGTCTGGGACCAGGACATGATCATCTATGCTACAAAGCACGGCACTTGATGAAGATCACACTTACAGACCAATTCAATCTAGCAGTTAAAGAATATTAATAATATTATATTACCTACTACATTTACAAACCTAGAATTCTCAGGTTTTGCAGTTAAAAAACATTTTTACTGGCAACTTGCCTAAGTTTTAACACTTAATACCATAAGTAAACGTATTTACAAAGTTGAGAGGTTGTGGATCGACAATTATGTGATATTTGCAAACATGAGAGATTGAAAATGTACAGGAAATCCAGATTTTTCGTAACATATTAAGATCTATACTCACAGGACTCGGAGGTTCAGGTTCTGCAATTACACCAGCTTTACCAAGAAGGATTCTTGACTTCCTCACCATGTCCTAAAAATAGAACATAAATCTTTCATACTGTTAATCTTATGGAATTTTATAATGGAAGATTTCAAAATAAATGTAAATTGCATTTTCCAAACACACACAAACCAAGGAATGTCCTATAACTATTTACAATTTAACTAGCTTTCTAACTAACACAAGAGGGACTTTAAGCAATTTCCTTAGCTACTTGATCTGAACACAACAAGATAAACTTTCAAACCAATGTTGAATTTGACAATACTCTGTTCTGAAAACAACATAGTATTACTTGTGATTAGATAGATTAAAACTTAGCCTTTCTATTGATTATAAATGTTAAAATATAAAATGTCAGAGAGAATTATCAACAATTTCTGAAATAGGATGCTACAAGCACAAGCGGCAAGTTTTGTAGTTTATGTTAGCAAATAAGATTGAAGGCTATAATAAATTAGACTTTGTCTTAGTAATATCTATATTATAATGAGTAATTTATATTAAACTCTGTACTTTAGAGAGGGGTGGTAAATAAGTTAGAGTAGGGGAACAAAGTCATAATTTTCATACTAAAAGAGACTGAGGATATATTTAAGTATTTCCTCATAAAACAAAATTTGGTTTATTAACTATTTTTGATACTAAAGTAGTTGATTAAATTTTGAATGTACCTCTGTAAAACATTGGGACATGTGGACTTTAACCTACCCATAACAAGAGGGTTAAGTTGCTTAACCTTTTATAAAAACTACTTCTAGCCTGTCAAGTCTTTTAGAGAGTATAACCCTTATTTTAACACTGCTACACTAGAAACTTTGGCCAAGGTATGGTATTTTAGTTCTATAGACCATGTACATTAAATATTTTCAAGCAGTAGATATATTTATGCACATCAAATCCAACTATTAAATGAGCCATAGAACACAGTTATAATACAGTACTTAAAAAGCAAGTTTGAATTACAATAAGGACTTACTACTAAACAGAATATACCTTTTTTTCCTTAACTGGCTCTGAAGTTGTTGCATCACTTGGGTCAGGATCATCTGGGATTCCAAGAATTATGTTTTCATCATTTGGATCAAGAGTTAATATTTTTGGTTCTGGAATTTTGTCCACTGCCTACAATAATTCAAAACTTGCACAAGAAATGCTGATTGAAGAATAAAATAATGTTCTGTAATTCTATTTGCATTTCAAAAATAACATTCTATTGATTATAAGCATTCTTTTTTAAAATGGAGAGTATATCCAGCATACTGCAACCTTTTTATAAGAAGTGAAACTGACTGTCCACTTCATCAGTTAATTAATATATTTTAAAAAGCATCACAAAAATGACCCAGAACCCACTTTACTAATGATTGTTTTTGATTAACAGTTCAAGGTTGGAATTACTATTACAAAGAATGATAAATACTGACTGAGTCACTAGATGTCTAGTTCCATGTCTGTGTTTTTGGATTGCCAAACTGGGTGGACTTAACTCCTTTCTTATGGTGACCCTTTTCTTCTCATATCACAAGATTTTACTTAGTTAGATATAAAATTTAATTAAGCTATTGTATGATCAATGTTTGTCAATGAAATCAGCATTAAAATTTACATTATAGTTCAAAGTTTAATATCATCTAAATTTTAATTCCATAACACTTTTCATATGGCTCGGTCAATTTGATTGACCACATGATCTTTTTTGTAGTCATTTAAAGTCTTTATAGATTTAATATTTATAGCTTTCAATATAGTTGGTATATCTTCACGAAATTTGGCAGTCTTTCAGTTAATATTACAAGTCTTTCAGATACAAAAACTCATATTTCTTAGTAAAGTATTTTTAATAAAATAAAATAAAGATTTGTCGATGAATATGTTAAGTATTTGTTTGAATAGTCCATGTGCAACGTAATTTTCATGTTAAAATTAGAAATACTTTTCCTCATCTCAAAAATATCAAATTTTCTTTGTGTAATCCCTAAACCTCCTAAATGCATTTCAAACGTTTTTTTCTTAGAATAACTTATTAGGTTA